TTGCATACAATATCATTCAGAGGTCAAGGTCAAGGTCAGGTCAGGTCAGGTCAGGTCACCAAAAACAAAATATAGAAAAGGGCATGTGCGACACATGTTTTATGGGTCATTTTACTCATAGAATTCAATAGGCACTTTCAATAAGTGATATGGACCACCTCTGGATGAATTTCAGGTCGAGGTCAGGTCAAGGTCAGGTCAAGTGAGGTCAAATTTTGAAGTTGGTTGTTAACCCGCGCACCGACGGGGGGGGCGGATATCCGCCCCCCCTTGAGGTTTTTCGCGAATAGCGGGAAAACCGCGGCGCTACGCGCCGCGAAATTTGGTATGACTGTACCCTCATCAATTTTACACATGGTGTGCAAGTTTGAACCTCCTACCTTTTAAGGTCAGGTCACCAGGTCACTTTGAATGACCCAACCTCAAGTCACTTTTTTGCAACTTTGTCACCGTGCCAGAGCTACAGTAGATGTCGGAGACCTTTGAAAGTCGCAGGATGTTATAAGGTCATTAGTATCTACAATTTGTATATCTCGGAATTTTGATATCGGTGACCTAAGGTCAGGTCAATATCGCGACCTCCCCATTATAAGTCAATGGGGGAAAAATCAACTCCCTATTTTTACCACTAAAACGGGTCGAAATGGCCCCATATACCATACATGACTTTATATACGATCAACCTTCACTACCTTGAGGTCTGTTTTGCTGTTGGGCAGCTGTGAGGTCATGTGACGTCATCAAAGGTCACCAAAGGTTTTGGGCCAATAACTCCGTACAGGAACAAGATACAGCCGCGTGGATGGTCTCATTGTGTTCAGCTCGTCAAGACGCATCGAATGATATACATGATGACCTCGAGGTCACGTGACCTGAGGTCAACCTTTGACCTTGACCTTTCGAGGTCAACATATATATCTTTCGATGCGGATTGACGAGAGGATCACGATGATGCCCTTAGTTTGTTCCTATCTTGACTAGTTCGAAAGTTATTCGAGAAAAACTCTCTCAATATCTAGCGCCGCCATTTTGACTTTTTCGACCCCTGTGACGTCATCTTTGACCTGACCTGAAAATGACCTTTGTAAAAATTGTAGATCTTGACCGTGCGTATCCGATGCCGTTTACCGCTTGTCGCTATCTTGCTTCGTTCTCGAGATCTCAGGGGGGGGCGGTCATCCGCCCCCCCGTCGGTGCGAAGTTGGCGCAGAAGTCGGTGCGCGGGTTAAGGCCTAAAAAGGTGTCTATCTGATGCAGTTTTTCACGGCGAATCGAATGGTGCTATTTTTGTTTCCGTACGAGGTCTAGAACTTCCAAAAAGTCATTTTTCCATTTTTTGTGTGTCGTGACGTCATAAAATGTTTAATAACTCCCACATTTTTGAACCGATTCTTCTAAAACTTGGTATCTAGGTACACATATGGCTATCTCGGTTTTTTGAAAATTTTGGATTTTGGCCCAATTTTTTTTTTTAAACTGACTTTTTTGGAAAAATAGTTATAAAATCCAAAATTTTGAGTGTATCGAAAAAACCGGAATATATGTCAGAGAATTGTTACGTCTTGATTCCTTTAAAAATGAAGATGTTAGCGGCGTTTGAACTTTTGCCGTTTTTGAGGCGAAAATGGCGAACATGACGTCACTAAAACGTCAATTTCTCAAAAAAATTTCCGACGGATTTCGCTCAAATGACCCTTGGTGACCTTTGGTGATCTGACCTGTGACCTGACCTGGTATGACCAGTGACTTCTAATAGCAACATATGTACTAGACAACTGACGCCTTATCGCTGATTTTCGACAAAATGCGTTTTACTCGGTGTTATAGCGTTTTCCCTAGAAGCCACGTGAACGGTGAAACATTTTATCTTTGACCTGACCTGTGACGTCATCGGTGACCCCGAGGTCAGTGAAATTTGGTTTCCTTCAACAAATTTGACAGGGCTATCGAACGCCGTTAGAATTTTCCGGATCCGTTCAGTAGTTTCGGAGATACGGGGGGGGGGGCAAAAAATGCCCCCACCCCACCGCGCGGAAGGTGGCTGGGAGGCCCACCGCCTGCCGGGTTAATCCGCGGACTAGCGATTATTTTTCAGTGAATTCGCGGAATGCCGATTCTTTTTCAGAGAATTTCCGTAAAACATTGTTTAGTGTTAACCCGGCCGGGCCCGGGGGGTAATCCCAACCACCGCAGCCCGGGGGCGGGGCGTTTTTCGCCCCCCGTAATACGTAATACGTAATAATTTAATTTACTCCGTAAATAAGGGAGCTACCGAAACGAAAGCGATACCACACGAAAGATCCTTACAAGACGATTCTAAATCACCTAAAATTTTTGACCTCAGGACAATTTTCAAGGTCAGTGGTCAAGGTCAAAGGCAAAAATCGGTCATGTGTAGTGATATCAAAGTATGCGTTCTAGAGGACGACAGGATGTGAAAAAAACGGCAAAATTGGATGTCAAACGAAAGAAGAGAACCTGAGGATTCCGAAAATGTGCTCAACATTAATCCGCGCCCAGATGGGGTCTGCCGAGCAACGCGGTCTGATGGGGGGGGGGGGGGCATTTTGGCCCCCCTCAGATCTCGAGAACCACGCAATATAGCGACAAGCGGTAAACGGTGTTGGATAGCCCCAACGGGGAACTACCTTGTGACCCAATTTCATTGACCTCGGTCAAACCGATGACGTCACAGGTCAGGTCAAAGGTCGAATTTTCACCGTTTACAGGCATTTCAAGAAATGCGTTGTAAAATCGAGTAAAATGCATTTCATTGAAAATCATCGGTGGAGAAATGTTCTTCAAACACATATTTTGCTATTTGAGGTCACTGATACCAGGTCAGGTCACAGAGGTCAGGTCACTGGGGGGTCACAATATGAAAGTGTCGTGTGATACATGTTTTATGGTCCATTTTACATGACAAATGAGATTATGTGGGTCAGACAGACTTTAGGGCCGGCTTAGGTCACGTTTTGGTCAAGGTCAGGTCAAGGTCAGGTCAAGGTCAGGTCAAATTAGGTCAAATTTCAAAGTTGATATTTTTGCATAAAATAGGTATTGAATCGATGCAGCTCGTCACGGGGAGTTCAATGGTGGTCTTTGTTTTGCCGTACGTGGTCTAGAATCGCTAAAAATTGAGTTCAAAAATTTGACGTCATCATTTTGGAACAGTTTTTTTGCTATAACTTGGCCAAAAAACGAGATATCGATCTGAAATTTGGTATGTATATAGAAGAGCAGAGCGACTATCACATATATTCCGTTTTTTTTTTCGAAAGTCGGATTTTTTTATTTTTTTTTTGTTTTTTTTAAAAAAAAAATCATTTTTTTATATTTGGGGGTTAAAAACCCAAAATTTTGAAAATCCGAGATAGCAGTTTTGTAGCGCCGGTTTTTGTCTAGTTGACCATATAAAGTACTTTGAAATTGTCTGATAACTGTAGATTTGGTGAGCGCTTCAAGATTGCATGTTTTTTGCTCATTTTTGCTCGAACATGACCTCAGTTTGACCTCAATAAATCCTGACCTAACGTGACCTAAAACTTGAAATTTGGTGTGAAGGTGTCAAATTGATGCCCAGAAAGGTACTGAAAATTTGGCGGCGCTGCGCGCCGCCGTTTTCTTGCTATTCAGGAAAAACCACAGGGGGGGGGGGCAAAATGTCCCCCCCAACGGGGCGAGTGTTTTAAAGGTCAAGGTCAAGATCATGCTCTAAATTGACCTGAAACTTTTCACTTTTGTGTACATCTTGCGTGCTAACTTCCAATATGTTTTTAAATGTTTTGAGGCTTATCAGGTCTCTACTTGTGGTTCATTGTACGATGCAAGGCTGCTCAAAGGTCAAGGTCACAGAAGAGTATCCTTGCTAGAGGCTATTTCACTGATTCTAGTTAGTATATAATGATAAATAAGATAATTTTGCCATGCGGAGGCTCTAAATGAAGGCTTAGAGGAAAATAGATGCCAGATTCGTGATCAGCGGGTACGAATCCATCATAAACGACCTTTCATGTGTCAAGGTCAGCCAAAGGTCATCTTCGAGGTCACATAAGGTCAAGATAAAACTTGACCTTTTCAAACAAAATATATATCATTCGACGCGGCTTGACAAGGCGAATGCGTTGGTACCACTGCCGTAGCTCTAGGACCATTTTTTCGAAGTTATTTGCGAAAAACTAAAACCACAGCTCGGGGGTCGTTGATCTGACCTCTGACCTCAGGTCACCAAAACTATTTTTCTATTTTTCTCTAGGTCAAATGCTACAAAACCGTGCTCGTAATTTGTCTTTATCTCTAAAACTCTATTTTAGCAGCTATTTGAAGTTCGCGTCTGTAACGTCGAAATTTGTCGTGCAGGGGTCTAGAAAAATCGACCCTGTGACGTCATCAAGGGGGCTAGTTCCAAATTTTTTACTTCAGAAGATGTCAAATTGATGTCAGAAAAGGTACTAAAAGTTTCGCTTTCCTATCCCTAAGCGTTCGGGAGCTATCGCAAAAAGTCGCCAGGGGGGCGAAAAACGCCCCCCGGGCCCGCGCGGGTTAATGCTGATTATTGGTATAGGCTCAAAGATATTTGAATGGAGACTGAATCCTGTTGCTGATATGATTAGTTGACAAGTTGTCCTTTTGTACGTTGGCCGACATGACAGTGGCAACCAGTCTATAGGAATTAAAAACTAGGGGACATTTGGTAAGTTTTACGTTACATTGTTAATCCTCGCCCCGCTGGGGGGCCAATATGGCCCCCCTGTGGGTTTTCCTGAATAGCAAGGAAACAGCGGCGCGCAGCGCAGCCATATTTTCAGTACCTTCCTGGGCATCAATTTGACACCTTTACAAAAAAAAATCACTATCTATCACTATTACTGCTCACTATTAGCAGTCAGCTCGTATGCAGCATGTATGTAGTGTCATACCTACCTATGTCTCAGCACGTGCTAGCGTGGCAGCTCCCACACCATTCACCTACCATATCTGTATGTGTCTGTGTTTCCCAGACTGCCCGCGTGTCACTGCCGGGGCCCTACAGAGGCTGCTGTCCGCCCTCACCGGCCTTGAAGACGTCACGCTTGGCGGCACTCTGTCCTGCGCCATCACTGACGCCTCACTGGCCGCCGTCCACGGCTGCTCCCAGCTGCGTAAAATGCAGCTGGGGGACAGAGTGGACCAATGTACGGATATACCGGTCACAGCGGTCAGCAGGTCAGTTAGCTGTACATTCAGACCAGACTCAGACTAGACCCAGACCAGACCCAGACCCAGACCAGACCCAGACCAGACCCAGACCAGACCCAGACCAGACCCAGACCAGACCCAGACCAGACCCAGACCAGACCCAGACCAGACCCAGACCAGACCCAGACCAGACCCAGACCAGACCCAGACCAGACCCAGACCAGACCCAGACCGCACCAGACTCAGACCATTTCTACCTAGATGAGACCAAACCAATGCATGACGCTATGCTGTATGCATTGTCTGTTTGTGTACACTGTTGCTATGCATTGAGCTTAACCCTCGCACGACCAGGCCATTTCTCATAACACGAACGACCAGGGGGGGGGGGTTGTTACGACCCCCCCCCCCCTGGCGTTTCGAAACGGAAGGTCGTAGAGCTTAGCGGAAAAAACCAACGGATTGCTCTCAACGAGATCTCGCGATTGGTGGTATATTTTTTGGTCCTAGGTCAACATTTGACCTACTTATGACCGGTCAAAGGTCAAATTTTCCGAAAAAATCAAACTTTTTCAACTTTCCGCGGCGATTGCGGCAAAACGGTGGGAGATATCGACTTGAAACCTTCACTATCGTGTTCCTTGATCAATTCTCTATCGTTTGGTATGTATTTCGTTTCCCTAGCTCTAAAAATGGCGCGTTGGGAGCGCCGGAAGTCGGCAAGGTCACAGTCGGCGGCAGAAATTCGAAAAATCAAAATTTAAATTTTTGAAATCTGATTGTATTTTTGGATTTGGGAGGTCCATTTGCTCCCCATAGAAGCTAATATTGCTGCATATTCCCATTGAGGTGACAAGAATTAGCAAAACAGTGGTTCGGGCGCTTTTCAAAAATAGTACCGGACGCTGTTCCTCTTGTGACGTCATAGCTCCGTGACCTGACCTGACCCGGTCAATTTTCTTGCACCACACGATAGCCAATGCTTGCCCCAACATGCATGGGAAGTTTCATCATGATCCATCAAACAATGTGGGTATCACCGGCAGAAAACCTAGGGATTCGGCGCACACGTTTGGTAACTGTCGGCCGGAGGCTGTACCTCTTATGACGTCATAACTCCGTGACCTGACATGACCCGAACAATTTTTTTTTCGCAAAAGATGCGCAAAGGTTGCCTTAGAGGGTATTGAAAATTTCAGCCCGCTACGACAAGCCGTTTAGCGTGCACTTCGAAAAAACCTCAGGGGGGGGGGTTGATACAACCCCCCCCCCTAGGCGTTCTAGGGTTAAAAGATTGGTATGTATTGTCACTAACGAGCATACAGACCAATAGTAGTTAGCACTATAGCTATTAGCTGGCGCACGGCATCGGGGCTGGACCCTCACCGGGACCGGACCGGCCCTGACTTGAACTGGCCCTGTGGAGACCGGACCCGTCCCCTCCAGACGGCCGGTCAGCCGGCTGGTGTCGCTGACTGGCCTGTGTCCTGTTCTGTCACAGGCTGGTGGTTACCTGTCGGAAACTGGAGGCGCTGCTCTTAATCGCAACGGAGGAGCTCAGTCAGAGGGTCCTGGACGCCCTGGTCCGGGCAGACCTGGGGAAACGCGATGACGGCACGCCGAGAACACTGTGGTTCCAGGTCTCAGGTAAGTGACAGCGCCGCCCAGCGCCTCTGATCAGTCCCACAACAGACGGCTCGGTGCCACCGGCCTCTCGGAGCCGCTATCGGACACTCTCTCAACGGGTCGAGATGAACACATGACGTTGATGTGACGTCACAGCTGATATAAACTGATAGTGATGTCATTCGTATATATGTTACAGGCAAAGTGAAAACTCGGGCATTTTGCAAAATGCCTAGGCAATTTGCAAAATGCCTGACCCGCCAGGCATTTTGCAAAATGCCCAGGCAGTTTGCAAACTGCCTGACCCACCAGGCATTTTGCAAACTGCCTAGGCATTTTACAAAATGCCTGACCCGCCAGGCATTTTGCAAAATGCCTGGGAGTGGGTTTTCATATATTCCACCGTTTTTGTTGACTACAGGCGTTGATCATAAACGTTCCACTGTGACTGACCCCACAACACATTTCACATGTGTTGTGGGACTGGGCACATGTGACACATTCCACGGTCACGAATACAGGGTGTCACGAAATTGTTGCGAGATGTTGTGCTTGTGTCCCGAAATGTATTGCATCGTAGTTGCGTTAGTGTTCTCCAGCACCTCGCTGACAAGTTATCAGCGGCCACATGGTCTGTCCCCGCGGCACCTGGTGAAGCTCAAATAGGCCTCTGTAGCCCATCATGCCCCAAACGAGAATCCCCAGTGCCCAGTGAGTGCTTCACCGTCTCGACGGTGCAGCGCCTCTGAGCTGCTGTTGGCCCAGAACTGCTTGTCGGGACGGTTAGTGACTAAGAAGAGCTCCAATAGCCGTTTTCACGACGGGCTATCCGGCGAGTGCACCTAATGTGACCAAATCTGCACCTAATCTCTTTTACAGCAAATATATTTATCTTATGAATTTATTTCAGTGTTTTAACCGATGATGCTCTCTGATAATATGACAATTAAGGAGGCATATAAGCAATTAGTACCTACAACCCTAGCTGATAGCTACTAAGAGACACACTGAACCTCATTTGACCAAATATGCACTTAATCTGCACCAGATGTTAACCAAATGTGTACCAGATGGCCGTCGTGAAAACGGCTAATATCGCCTCACGGCCTCATCATTAAAAAGTCTGAATCTCTAGTCCTGAATGGTCCAGATTTGGTGGGTTTTGTCGAAATCCAGCTGCACCACTAATGGATGACGATTAGTCAGGGTTGCAGCCTGATGTTGAGCGGCTTGAGCTTCATGGTAAAATCTTCAGATACCGGGGAATGGCCGATTTAGATGCCCTGGTGCCGGACGCGTTCAAATTACATCCATTCAGCACTCAGGAGGGGCATAGAGGGACAAGACCGCGTCAACCGCGTATCAAGTTCGTGACACTCTGAATACCTACGTCTTGCGTCAATTCTGTCGAGATGGAGCCAACGCTGAATGGACATGAGCCACCGTCTCCGTACCTTTCGTATAGGTATACGGAGTTGTAGCCGTGTGTATAAAAGCTGCGATGTCCAGTATTCTGCCCTCGTGGGCAACTGTCCGGCAGAGACGATTGATAATGTACGTAAACGTGTAACAATCAAATTTTCGCAAATTGGAAGAGTATTCTTTTCTGATCAATATCCACCCATAGTATTTTCAAAAAGCCACCAAGAGCTCTTAGAAACAGTACAATCATTGTACCGAGCGCATGTTTACCCACGAAACCACGCCCGGTGCTCGGCACCCGACGGCCGCTGGGGCTCAGTGACCTGAACTCGGCTGCGCTACCCGGAGAACGCAGTGTCCCCTCGCTTGGTGCACATTGACAGCAATGAACTTTTGTAAGCGGCAGTTACAAATGATGCTTACCTATACATCGTCGCTAGTGCGAGTTTGATGCCAGGCATTTTGCAAAATGCCTGGGAAAATATTTCAGGCATTTTGCAAAATGCCTGGTGGGTCAGGCAGTTTGCAAACTGCCTGGGCATTTTGCAAAATGCCTGGCCGGTCAGGCATTTTGCAAATTGCCTAGGCATTTTGCAAAATGCCCGAGTTTTCACTTTGCCTGTAACATATAGATATGAGTCTATACTCATGTGTGGCGTGAATGGTTGTTCGAGTATGAACAATACCAAACACTAGCTGATACCTGTGGTAGGTTAGCCAGTATATAGTAAGATGACGTAAGATATATCCCTAGAACGCCTAGGGGGGGGGTTGTATCACCCCCCCCCCCTGAGGTTTTTTCGAAGTGCACGCTAAACGGCTTGTCGTAGTGGGCTGAAATTTTCAATACCCTCTGGGGCAACCTTTGCGCATCTTTTGCCGAAAAAAAAATTGATCGGGTCATGTCAGGTCACGGAGTTATGACGTCATAAGAGGTACAGCCTCCGGCCGACAGTTACCAAACGTGTGCGCCGAATCCCTAGGTTTTCTGCCGGTGATACCCACATTGTTTGATGGATCATGATTGAAACTTCCCATGCATGTCGGGGCAAGCATTGGCTATCGTGTGGTGCAAGAAAATTGACCGGGTCAGGTCAGGTCACGGAGTTATGACGTCATAAGAGGTACAGCCTCCGGCCGGATTTTCACGAAGTGTGTACCGAGTCCCGAGGTTTTCGTTTGCTGTGAATTGATTGTTGGAAGTTGGAAACACACTTTTCTGAGTCGTTACCTACAGTATTTATAGCGGAGCAGTGGTCAACAGCCGACGAATCGGGACAAACACCGGAGGGTGATGTGACACCATATCACTCATCAGCAATAGGCCTCTTACTTTTATAGGGTAAATACACCAAAAACACCATATATGATGCAGAATTGAGTGGGGAATACGTTGTTGAAGGTTTGAAGTTAATATCTCTCACCGTTTTGCCGCAATCGTTGCGCAAAGTTGAAAAAGATTGATTTTTTCGGAAAATTTGACCTTTGACCGGTCATAAGTAGGTCAAATGTTGACCTAGGACCAAAAAATATACCACCAATCGCGAGATCTCGTTGAGAGCAATCCGTTGGTTTTTTCCGCTAAGCTCTACGACCTTCCGTTTCGAAACGCCAGGGGGGGGGGTCGTAACAACCCCCCCCCCCCCGGTCGTTCGTGTTATGAGAAATGGCCTGGTCGTGCGAGGGATATAGTAAGATGATGTCACACGTATTTAGGTAGCTAATTGGTATGGCTTCAGCTCTGACACGGTGTGTGGTATGAATTGATGTTATGAACATTTTCACCGTATTGTGGTCTTCACCGTTCATTTGTGCCACTCTGTGTATAAGGTAGGTATAGCGTGCAAGTGTGTGGTTGCAACTGCCCGATATTCTTTTAATGTGTGTTTCTTTTCTTTTAATGCTCGATATTCTTTTAAGCTAGAATTTTTAAATGTCACAAAATAATGAATCTGATGATGCTGTAAAGCGAAAGCTCATTCTCATATTTGGCCTATTTTACAATAAAAGTTTTACATTTCTGCCATGTTATTGATCATTTTTGCATATTGATGCCCGATATTCATTTGAATTCATGTTACCGGGACGTTACCACATACTCAGTTCACGTACATGTCTTCGTTGTTATGTCTTCGTTGTTGTTATGTCTTCGTTGTTATGTCTTACATGTCTTCGTTGTCGTTCGTTGTTACATGTCTTTGGTGCTGAATTAGGCTTGCGTAGATAGATACTATCATTGGCGGATCCAGAAAGGCAATCTTTGATGCTGCGGGTGGGGCACACCCTCCAAAAAATTCTCCAAATTCCAAAAGCTCATCGAATTTCGGTTCCTTAGGCACTGCTACGCAGCTTAACCCGCGAGTTGCTGGGGGGAGGGGGGCGTTAACCCTCGCCCGTAAACGGTGTTTTACCACCTTCGCCCATGCAGGGGGGGGGTTGGTGCGACCCCCCTGGCGTTTGAAAATGGAGCGTCGTAGAGCTTAGCGGAAAAAACCAACGGATTGCTCTCAACGAGATCTCGCGATTGGTGGTATATTTTTTGGTCCTAGGTCAACATTTGACCTACTTATGACCGGTCAGAGGTCAAATTTTCTGAAAAATCTAACTTTTTCAGATTTCCGCGCCGATTGCGGCAAAACGGTAAGAGATATCGACTTAACCCGCGCACCGACGGGGGTCTGCGCCAACTTAGTACCGACGGGGGGGGGGGCGGATAACCGCCCCCCCCCCCTGAGATCTCGAGAACGAAGCAAGATAGCGACAAGCGGTAAACGGCATCGGATACGCACGGTCAAGATCTACAATTTTTACTAAGGTCATTTTCAGGTCAGGTCAAAGATGACGTCACAGGGGTCGAAAAAGTCAAAATGGCGGCGCTGAATATGGAGAGAGTTTTTCTCGAATAACTTTCGAATTAGTCAAGATAGGAACAAACTAAGGGCATCATCGTGATCGTCTCGTCAATCCGCATCGAATGATATATATGTTGACCTCGAAAGGTCAAGGTCAAAGGTTGACCTCAGGTCACGTGACCTCGAGGTCGTCATGTATATCATTCGATGCGTCTTGACGAGCTGAACACAATGAGACCATCCACGCGTCTGTATCTTGTTCCTGTACGGAGTTATTGGCCAAAAACCTTTGGTGACTTTTGATGACGTCACATGACCTCACAGCTGCCCAACAGCAAAACAGACCTCAAGGTAGTGAGGGTTGATCGTATATGAAGTCATGTATGGTATATGGGGCCATTCCGACCCGTTTTAGTGGTAAAAACAGGGAGTTGATTTTTCCCCCATTGACTTATAATGGGGAGGTCGCGAAATTGACCTGACCTTAGGTCACCGATATCAAAATTCCGAGATATACAAATTGTAGCTACTAATAACCTAATAACATCCTGCGACTTTCAAAGGCCTCCGACATCTACTGTAGCTCTGGCACGGTGACAAAGTTGCAAAAAAGTGACTTGAGGTTGGGTCATTCAAAGTGACCTGGTGACCTGACCTTGAAAGGTAGGAGGTTCAAACTTGCACACCATGTGTAAAATTGATAAGGGAATAGTCATACCAAATTGCGCCGCGGTTTTCCCGCTATTCGCGAAAAACCTCAGGGGGGGGGGGCGGATATCCGCCCCCCCCGTCGGTGCGCGGGTTAACCCTATTAGTGGCAGGGGGGGTTGTTTTTATCCACCCCTCAGGTTTTTCGGGAATATCTCCGAAACCGCTGAAGCTACGATGCTGAAATTTTCTGACTTTTCCTAAAACTAAATTGGGCACATTCCCTGAAAATTTCAAGTTCATAAGTTTACCAGGGGCGGCTCCAGAGCACTGGGAATTGGGGGGTCCTATTCGTGAAGCGAGTCATTTGGGCGAAGATCACGATGCTGCACCAGTTTTACGAACAGTGAATGAAAGGTATCATGTGATAACATATACAGTTATTGTGCATCCTCTTTTGACACGTTTTTGCTATAATAGGCGGATCCAGGCGTTCAAAAAGGGGGGTTATGTTTTACCTCCCAAAATAGGTGCCCTGACACCGCCTATGCATGAATAATACAATTGTAGTCGTTCTCTCATAAGAAAATTGTAACATAACAAGACCATTACCACCCTTTTTAGAAACAGTACCAACAAAAACCTTATTTACTATACTTTTTGTGTACCCCTAATCTCAATGATCTGTATCCGCCTATGATTTTTGAAAATGCATATTTTTAGGATCCATGTGAATTCCTGGTTCATTCTCTATCGATCGGCAAAAGTTGCGTTAAGATTGGTTCAGAAACCTGGCCGTGATAAACAGTCTAAAATGTATCTGCAATTTGCCCGTTTTTACCCCCCTCTACCCCCCTATTGACATTTTTTCAATTTTTATTTTTTAGAAATGTAGATCACGTTGAGCGAAATCGAATGCCGTTTGAATTTTGAAAATCGGCCCGTTAGATCTCGAGATATCAAGGGGGGGTCGTAAACAGCCCCCCCTGCCACTAATAGGGGGTAGCCAGGAGCCTGCCACTAATAGGGTTAAAACCTTCACTATCGTGATCCTCGATCAATTCTCTATCGTTTGGTGTGTGTTTCGATGTCATAACTCTAAAAATGATGCGTTGGGAGCATCGGAAGTCTGCAAGGCCATTTGTGCATTGGGTCACGTCAGGCGTGTGACGTCACTGACCTGACCCTGACCCAAAATTAACTACAAGAAACAACCGACGATGCCTGAAATGGATAGCAAATTCGAATTCAGGGCATCAAAATACCCCAAAAAGGCATACAAGTGGCAAGAAGTCATTACAGGTCAACCGAGGTCACTGACCTTACCTTGACCTTGAGTAACCTTCAAAAGGTCAACGGACATTGTGCCAATGTCATATCAGCCAGTTGTGATTCTAAAACAATCCATCAGTGTGTCAGGTCAGTCGGCATTTATACCAATGTGAAGCAATCTCCAATTTAGCGTAAATCTGGCCGGAGGTTGTTCCATAAATGACGTCATAACTCCGTGACCTGACATGACCTTGACAAAAAATACCAAAAGTTGCGCAAACGATGCCCCAAAGGGTACTGAAAATTTGGTCAGGCTATCTGAAACGGTTCGGCGTGTAGCTAAGAAAAACCTCAGGGGGGTGCACCAACCCCCCCCCCCCTACATGGGCGAGGGTTAAACGCCCCACTTTTATCGCCGCGCTATAGCGTAAAAACGGCGCGCCGCAGGCGCGCCAAAATTTAAGTACCTGTAGGGAATTGATTGAAGTTTGTTGTGACAATAAAAAAATCGGTAGGATTTTTTTGAGATATCGAGGTTTTAGTGACGTCATGATTTCTGAGATTTCGGCCAAAAACGGCATGTGTTCAAAAATCATATAAAATCACAGAATAGACAACAGACACACAGACATGCCGTAAACGCCATTAGACTGCTAATACTACGAACAATCAAATGGTTATCTTCGATTTTTCATTATAGTTCCGCATTTTCAAAAATCTTGAACTGAATCTTGGCAATTTCTCGTGACTACTTAGCGACCATGATACATGCATTTCCTAAATTGAACTTTTTGAACCAAACACGTACACATATGATAAAATGAATGTCACCATCGTGTTCTACGCCCAAAATTACACATAAAACATGTGTCACGGGCTGCGAATATCAGTTTTGGTTTTCGGGGATATGTGCCTTCCCGGTTGACCTGACCTTGACCCTGACCTATGCTTGACTGACCCCTACATGGAGCTGACACTCTTGTAGGCCTTATATGAAGGATTGTGCACCGTTTTGAGAGAGTTTATGACGAGAGGCGCCCATTGCGAGGTTCTGAAGTCCATGCTACTGAAAGCCCGATTTCAGGTGTTTGACCTGACCTTGACCCGACCTGTGACCTCTAAATTCAAATTTAACCCTCGCATGTGTAGGGGGGGGGGGTCGGATGGACCCCCCCCCATGGTTTTTCGCGAATAACTCGCGTAAAAAGCGGCCGATCGCGACGAAACTTTCAGTACCCTCGCATTGATCAATTTTACACCTACCCTGAAAATTTCATGACCCTGACCCAAATGACCTTTGACCTGTGACCTCTTTTCCGAGACCATGTTTGGCCGGAATCGCGATTTCGCGTATGTCGGCTCGCACTAGCCGCGTGTTTGCAAGCTTTTCGTGGTTTCAAACGTTCAAACATGTGATTTGATGTTACTCCCGTGTGTGAAGGTCACCTGAAGGTCAGGTCAGGTCATTGACCTTTGGTGACCTCGGGTGACCTCGGGTCACTTTTTCGAGTTTTACATGTTTCTAGGCTAGTTTTTGGAGCTGAATTCGAATTTAGCAACCATTTGAACATTTACGAAGTAGTTTTGGTGACTTTGTAACATGTTACGAAGCTGTCAGAGGCGGTTGACACGTACTACGAATACCCGTCACGACGCCTACTGGTTGACCTGACCTGACCTGACCCGACCTGGTCTAAATGCTTCAAGACATCATCTGTGATCAAAACTAACACGATATTCGTGATCAGCACCCCGAAAAACCCCTTAGCAGCCACACTTTACGACTTTCTAACAGGTCCCGATTTTCCCGACTTTGGGTCATTGACCTGACCTGGAAGGTCAACCAATGACCTAGGACCTTAAAATTGGGTATCATCGGCTTCCTCTCGTCACGGGCAACACGCTCGTTTTTTCCGCGAAGCTCTAGCTCGATCAGGGGCCAAACGGCAAGGGGGGGGGTCCAACCGACCCCCCCCCCTACACATTAGAAGCTGGCAAACGCCGCACACATGCGAGGGTTAAAGTACTCATCTGAAGCGTCTCGTCGCGTTCTTTCGTTTGCCGCCTAGTGTGTTTCGCTGCGCCAATTGGTTCTCGAGTTATCGGCTGGGGGCGTTTAACGCCCCCCCCCCCAGCAAACGGCGGGTGGCGACATACCCCAGGAACTGCCGGGTTAAAGGGACCCTCCCACCTTCAAAAAAGTTAATGAATTGGCACGAAAGTGATGTCGCTCGGTTCAGAAAGAGCGAAAACGAATATCTACCAAATTTCATCGAAAAATATTCACCGGTTTTCAAGATATTAGACTTTTACTTTTGTTTACTTTTTGGGATCTCCGCTGTTCCTAGCGACTTTATTTGAAAGTGCGGCATTTGTTGCGCGCAAAGCAGCATATACCACCGCGTGCTACCAAACGTTTTAGTAAAAGATTTAAAAATCGTTAGATCTCCGCTGACGTCACAAATTCTAAGGGGGCATACCAATGCACTAGCCCCTTAGAATCCGAAAACTGCAAGTTTGAAATTCCATATCTCCGAATTAAAGCATTTGTCGATGTTGTGAGTGCCCAAACCGGTATTTGCAGGCCATGGCCACCAATTTGGCTATCTCAACTCAAAACTAATGTTAAGGTGGGAGTGTCCCTTTAAAACAAACTTTTCCTAATAAAAGTTGTTTAGTTATCGTTTTATTCCTCAAAAACCGCAAATTTTCGTCGATTTCGGGCGCTGCGGGGGGGGGGGCATTGGCCCCAAATGCCCCCCCCCCTGGGTCCGCCAGTGGATACTACAAACCAGTTTTGTGGTGTCGGACTTGTGAAAATAAATGGACCTATCCAGCATGTCCATTCGTGTCTGGTTGATAGCTCTACTTTTGTATTGTATTGTATGTATTGTATTGAACAATCATGAACGATCCACATTCTCAAAGTGCGTGGCGATTACTGCTCATTTAGTTACTGCATGGACCATGACGTACTCAACCGATCATGTGATGTGTGTGCCATTATGGGGCGTCATATCAGAAGTCCGTACTTGTGATAAGTGTTATACCACATTAAACAAAGTTTGTTTACTTCGTACTTCGTACTTCGAAGTATAAGAAACATTTTCCTTATTGTGTATGAGTTGTCATTTGTAACCCATATTACTGGTGTCTTACCCGCAGAAGCTGTTTATGATAAACTGATCATACCGTCGGATACCGGCAACATCAAAGTACTAAGACTGAGGGACGACAAATCCTGCGGTTCATCTTTGAAGCTCATCTTTCCACCGGGCCATAGTGATGAGCAGCTGACGGCTCTGCTGGAGTCCCTCCGAACCTTGGAGGAGCTCACGGTCTCCATTCCTCCTGACTCGACGGGACGGTGGCTGCGGCTGCTGCCGCCGTCCTTGAGAAGCCTGGACGTTTACGGTGAGATGTCATTGATGAAACGTGTACCTAATCACACTGCTGTGTGGTGAGGACAGCGCTTAGTAGGTATTGCGATTGCAGCCATGCATGTGGGCTGTAATAGTTAGCCGGTCCGATACCATATGCAATGTAATATTAATCTACACACAAAAACAGTGTTTTAGCGGGCAGTGGCATCATCACAGAAAAATGTGTAATGCGTACCTATTCACTGTAACTCTGGTCAAAATTATGATAGACGTTGTTTTGAAGAACACATGCTCTACAAATGATCATACGAAACCGACGCCTAATGTTGATCATGGCCTGACATCCAATACATATAGTTTTGACAGCATCGTCGATAGTGTTCAATCTCTATCCCGCGCCCTGCTGGGGGGGGGGTGTTTGAACACCCCTTTTTGGTACACCTTATCATGCATCAATTCTACACATGTTGTGAAAATTTCAGACCAAGGTCATTCAAGGTCAGGTCACCAGGTCACTTGAAGTGACCTCACCTCATAAAAAGTTTCAATGTCTGTCATAGCTACACCGAGTGACCGATCGCTTTGAAACTTTCAGCGATTGCTAAGAGCAATAGCATGTACAAAATTTTTATCTCAGAATTTTGATATCGATGACCTAAGGTCAGGTCAATTTTGCGACCTCCCCATTATAAGTCAATGGGAGAAAATTGAAATGCGTCTCTTTTGGACGAAAGACATTATGAACACTCCCAAACACTGAATTACAAGTGGTTTAGACACACTGAACATGAAAATGGTGTCCGTGACCCCTGTTTATGCCCTGAGGTCATCTTAGGTCACGAATGGTATCTAACAGTTTTTCGCAAATAACTTTTGATAGAGGCATGCTAGAGCGATGAAAACACCATAGATGTGTTCAGCTCGACGATACGGATCGACTGATATGCAACATGACCCTTTCCGGTCAGGTCATGACCTTGACCTGAGGTCAAATTTTCAAGTTGACCTTTCAAGGTCAAGTTATAGTTCATTCGATGCGTCTTGACGAGCGGAACACGATGCCGGTAAAAGTAAGCTCGTACAAGGCTTGGGTCAAAAGTTCTTGCAGAAAAACTGTTTCCGAAAAAATCGGCTATTTTTGCAGTTTTTGCCCCCTGCAGGCAAAACCGTTGACGTTAGGTCAAATCTGAGAGAAATACTCAGAAAGGGCGTTAATAGGGCTATCGAATGCGCTTTTCCGCGGCGCTGTAGCTCTATTGGTTCCCGAGTTATGCGTTGGCTTCTTGGAAATTTTCGACATTCGACCTGGAAATCGGCGAAATTTTGCCTTCAATGACCTCTGGTGACCTGACCTTTGACCTGACCAAAAAATTGACCGAAGTGATTTCGTCATTATTTTTGACGCTCTTTCGAACGCCGCCTTCCGCGTATCGCTACGTGGCCCAGGAGCCGAGTTAGAAGGGGGGGTGTTCAAACACCCCCCCCCCCCCCCCAGCAGGGCGTGGAAATCCAGGACCCCCAGCCGGGCGCGGGCTATTTTTCAGAGTTCATGGTCCATGCTGAGCTATGTAGGTATAACAATATGTGTGCTTGTATACAACAGACATTGCCAAACTCATTCCTATCAGTGACGATTCTCCTGTGTTGGTGTCAGTATCGGCTGTATCATTGTTAGATACCATAGTATCAGCGGCCTCCCGACCCGGCGGCAGCTCCGTCCGACTGCAGTCAGCTGACACAGCTCTCTTTCCGCAGGACCGGGGGAGACGGGGAAGCCGGCGAATGTGCCGAAGGAGAGACGGCCCGACCATGGGCTGACGGTCGTCATAAAACGGGCGGGAGACGACGTCATCGACCAGCTGGCCAAGGGGCTGGGACCACGGGTTACCGCGCTGACCATGTACAGTGAGTGGCGGTGGCACGGACAGATTATCGGTATGAGTGGTTTGGTATACTGACGAACACCATATACCCAACTGAGCACGGTAACACCGTTCGGGGAGAGGTGAAACAGGGACTGTAATCAGAGTAATAGTCATGTCAGATACTTTTTGCTGGTATATTTGGTATATTATATACATGGAGGAAGGAGTACTCTCCTATTGTTATTGGAAGGAATATTCTCTCCTCCATGTTATATATGTAAATGACGGATATGCCGGATACGTCGATATTCATTTCCGTGGTGTGTGTGGAAGTGCTGTCGCCAACATGGTGTTGGCGACCTGTGGTGAGTGCTCCATATAAATGCATAACCAATCACCAATCACCAGTTATGTGGGTGTGAGTGTTTCATTTTCTGCTTGGCAGTTCTTCATTAGTAGGCATCATTACTTGTACACAGAATGCATATACATATAGGTATACACTAGGGTTACCCGCGTGCTCCGCAACGCGAAGGGGGGGATTTTTTGACCCGTGGGTATTGGGTTGGTCTGTGTCGATTTGGTTGGTAGATATCCATTTCGTTCGATTGCTTTTTGACGGCCAAGCATTTTGTAAGAAAACAAAAAGATACATCGCATCGAGGTGCCCGTGTCGTATTACCATGCGTTCTACTTTAGAATGATTCGAAAACTGGCGTGAAGTCTTTTGAGGGCCATCGATGAATTTCGCTAAAAATGACAATGTAATGGTTTGGAACATTTACATTTTTAAGGATACTGTTGCTAATCATGCAAAAATGAAGAGTGAATATTGGACAGAATTGAATGCTCTATCCAATGGTACCATATTCAATTGCCAAAGGTATCAGGTTATGCAGCAAACCCCGTGTGATTAATAAAGTGGCACAAAATTGACAAACACCATTTTCTCCTGTGATTTGCACCACCTTGATTTGGATTAATCAGCTTTTCACAATTTTTATATGAGAGGCGGTACCTTTCTCTTGCAAATAGGCGTTGATTCAACTCGCTCCGTTTAACGGTCACCTAAAAATAAAATCAATTCCAAAATCCGTCCAAAACGTCAATTTTCCACATAAAAGTGCTCTCCCCGGTGCACGTGGCGCGTGCCATCCCCTGCACCGCATACCATTCGATAGCCCGTTCAATTATCTACACGATGCCGTTTTCCCCGTGCTGATCGGGCCCACGGTTACCGAGATATTGCACGGGGATCGGACCCGTGTCGGGCAAATTTAGCCATTTTTGCCCGATTTTGCAAGCCGATTTATACATGTAAAGTCTATGACGCGAATTTGCACTTTTTGGACATGCGCCACGCGCTCCCTATCGACCCGATCGAGCTCAGACCCCTCAAAGGCACGTCACGCATCCTTGATCTATGAGTTGTGCAAATTTCACCAGGCTAGGTGCAACGGTCTGGCCTGTAGTCCACGCAAAGCACGACCAAGTCGGGACCTCGGTAACGGACAGACGCACCCTCCTCAAATAGTAATATAGATGCATGCGTGTATAGCTACTTCTTTGTAGATATATACATAAACTGTACATACATACATGCATACGTACTTACATATACACAAATATACCAACATACAAATAATATTAAATGTGTTCATTATCACTATTTACTGCTCAATATTACCTAACAGTCAGCTCGAATGCAGCATGCAGTGCCATACCTGTCTATCCCGCGAGTTGCTGGGGGGGGGCGTTAAACGCCCCCACTTTTTTCGCCGGGCCATAGCATAAAAACGGCGCGCCGCAGGCGCGCCAAATTTTGGGTACCTGTAGGGAATTGATTGAAGTTTATTGTGACAAAGTTTCAAAAAAATCGGTCGGAAAATTTTTGAGATATCAAGGTTTTAGTGACGTCATGATTTCTGATTTTTCAACCAAAAACGGCATATGTTCAAAAAATCATATAAAATCACAGAATAGACATACAGACATGCCGTAAACGCCATTAGACTGCCAATACCATGGTCAATCAAATGGCTATCTTCGATTATTGATTATCGTTCCGCATTTTCCAAAATCTTGAACTGAATCTTGGCAATTTCTCGTGACTACTTCACGACCATGATACATGAATTTCTTAAATTGAACTTTTTTAGCCAAACACGTACACATATGATAAAATGAATGTCACCATCGTGTTCTACGCCCCAAATTACCCATAAAACATGCGTCACAGGCTGCGAATATCAGTTTTTATTTTCGGGGATATGTGCCTGCCCGGTTGACCTGACCTTGACCCTGACCTATGCTTGACTGACCCCTGCATGGAGCTGACACTCTTGTAGGCCTTATATGATGGATTGTGCACCGTTTTGACAGAGTTTATGACGAGAGGCGCCCATTGCGAAGTCCTGAAGTCCATGCTACTGAAAGCCCGATTTCAGGTGTTTGACCTGACCTTGACCTGACCTGTGACCTCAAAATTCAACTTTAAAGTACTCATCTGAAGCGTCTCGTCGCGTTCTTTCGTTTGCCGCCTCGTGCGTTTCGCTGCGCCTATTGGTTCTCGAGTTATCGGCTGGGGGCGTTTAACGCCCCCCCCCCCCAGCAAACGGTGGGTGGCGAAATACCCCAGCAACTGCCGGGCTATGTCTCAGCACGAGTGCTAGCGAGTAGCGTAGCAGCTCCCACGCCATTCACCTACCATGGCTGTATGTGTCTGTGTTTTCCAGACTGCCCGCGTGTCACTGCCGGGGCCCTACAGAGGCTGCTGTCCGCCCTCACCGGCCTGGAAGACGTCACACTTGGCCGCTCTCTGTCCGGCGCAATCACTGACGCCTCACTGGCCGCCCTCCACGGCTGCTCCCAGCTGCGTATAATGCAGCTGGGGGACACAGTGGACATATGTACGAATATACCGGTCACAGCGGTCAGCAGGTCAGTCAGCTGTACGCACAGACCAGACCAGACACAGACCACACACAGACCAGACCCAGACCAGACCCAGACCCAGACCAGACCCAGACCCAGACCCAGACCCAGACCAGACCTAGACCAGACCCAGACCAGACTCAGACCAGACCCAGACCAGACCCACACCATACTCAGACCAGTTCTAGCTAGACGGGACCAATGAATGCCACCACGTATTGTATGCATGTGTATGTACACTGTTACAATGCATTGTGCTTAGAGCCTTGGTATGTATTGTCATGCTAACGAGCATACAGACCAATAGTAGATAGCATTGTAACTATAAGCTGGCGCATCGGGGCCAGACCCTCACCGGGACCGGACCGGCCCTGACTTGAACTGGCCCTGTGGAGACCGGACCCGTCCCTTCCAGACGGCCGGTCAGCCGGCTGGTGTCGCTGACTGGCCTGTGTCCTGTTCTGTCGCAGACTGGTGGTTACCTGTCGGAAACTGGAGGCGCTGCTCTTTAACGCAACGGAGGAGCTCAGTCAGAGGGTCCTGGACGCCCTGGTAGAGGCAGACCTGGGGAAAAGAGATAATGGCACGCCGAGAACACTGGGGTTCGTGGTCCTAGGTAAGTGACGGCGCCGCCCAGCGCCGCTGATCAGTCCCACAACAGACGGCTCGGCGCCACCGGCCTCTCGGAGCCGCTGTCGCACACTCTCTCAACGGGTCGAGATGAGCACATGACGCTGATGTGACGTCACAACAGATAAAACAGTATAGTGATGTCATTCATATGTAGATTCGAGTCTACCCTCATGTGTGGCGTGAATGGTTGTTCGAGTGTGAACAATACCAAACACTAGCTGACTCCTATGATAGGCTAGCCAGTATAGTAAGATGACGTCACTCGTATTTAGGTAGGTAATTGGTATGGCTTGAGCTCTGACGCGGTGTTTGGTATGAATTGATGTTATGGACATGTTCACTGTACTGTGGTCTTCACTGTTTATTCGTGCAACTCTGTGTATAAGGTATAGCGTGCAAGTGTGTGATTGCAACTGTCATACTCATGTGAATTCATGTTACCGGGGCGTTACTAGATACTGAGTTCAAGTACTGTCGCTGTTACATGTCCGTTGGTGCTGAATTGGGCTTACGTAGAAAGAGAAGTACCTACCTACAAACCAGTTTTGTGGTGTCGGACTTGTGAAAATAAATGGACCTATCCAGCATGACCATTTGTGTCTGGTTGATAGCTCTACTTTTGCATGTAGTTACTGCATGGAACATGACGTACTCAACCGCGTTAGGCGGTACGGGCGGACATCGATAGCAGCGCCTCTATCGGTCACTAGGGAAAGCTGGGCTGTAGGCGACGAAATACCGGCTGAGTTGTCACAAGTTAACCCTCGCCCGCACATGGGGGGGGGGGGGGGTGGTGGTTGCCACCCCCCCCAGGCAGTCTTTCTGCTCTGCACTCAACATTTTTAAAGCTAGAAGGCTGATTTTTCGTATAGCTGCTTGTCTATCCTTTCTTGATGTCCACTGAAAATTTCGAGTTTCTGTGATTTTTGGTTTCGGAGATATGACCTTGTTTTTCAGGTCATGTCATGACCCAAATGGCCAATTCTCAACATCTTGCGTTTGCCATGGGCCTTGTGAGCTTTTGACACCCTGATTTCGGCCTTTTTTGCCAGTCTTACCTCCCACCTATCATGGAACATGCTGTTCGACGATGTACAGGGGTCAAGGTCAGGGTCAAGGTCAACCTAGGTCATCTAAGATAATTGCGTTTTAGGCAAGCTGAATTTACTTTTTGTGAAGTTTTTTGACTGTACTTTTGGTAAAAGCTTCTCAGATCATGATTTCATGTGATATGGACCCAAAAACAATCGGTGCACACATCAGTATACACACAGACACACACAGACATACAAACACATATAATTGACCTTGACCTAACTTGACCTGAAATGACCTCAGCAGCAAAATTCTGGTCGGATAGTGTGACAAAGAGGTTCTAGCTGGCTTGGCACCAGAAAACAGCATCGTCATCGGTATTTGATAAGCAGCGCACTTGATATCCAACGGTGACCCAAAACAGCAACATTTTTTAGTTTGACCTGACCTGGAAGGTCAATGACTGACCTGAGAAGGTAAAACTGGGTATCATTGTTTTCGTCTCTTCCCAAATAATCTTTTTGGTCTTTACTGCTAAGCTCTATCTCCAACAGGAACGAAATGGCGCGGGGGGGTGGCAACCACCCCCCCCCCCCCATGTGCGTTCTAGGCGTTCTAGGATGGGAAAATGGCATGTGCGGGCGAGGGTTAAATAGGTTTATAGACATCCGTCTTGTGAAAAAGTTGAACTTTTGCCTTCAATATTTCTACAGGCAATTTTAGAAGTGCCCTCACATAGATTACAAACCGCTTAAATTATTTTATTCACTTCAAGCCTTCCCTATTGTTCTTGATGATGCGGGAACTATTTTTAATTAGTGTTTCTAGCTTAGTAAAAGAACATATTGTGCAAAAGATGAAAAAAGCATAAATGGAAGATTTTAAATGCAATTTTCTGTAACAAATAATGGTAAATTCTCTACACATCAAGGAAAAGGTGCATGCTAACTGATAATTTAAAGTTCTTGGGGCCAGTTGGTTTCTTCTTTTCTTACGTCGCCCCAATGGCCGCGAATACACTTGTGATAACGCCTATCGGATCATGTGATGTGTGTGCCATTACATGGGGCGTCACATCAGAAGTCCGCACTTGTGATGTGTAATGTCACATTAAACATAGTTTGTTTAGTTCGTACTTCGTACTTCGAAATATAAGAAACATTTTCCCCATTGTGTAGGGTGAATAGGTCAAAAACGCCCCCATTAAGCGCGAAACCTTCTGACACTCAACCCAACCCAGATTACTCAAACCTTTGGGCACCATCATGTAGCTCATTCTTTTTACTACGCTTTGAGACCAAGAAAAGACACTTGCGTGTGGTATTTAACCCCCCAAAAAGGTTTCCGCATACCCTTACAAAAGGGCGTTTTGCCCCACACCCTGGGTAATACGCCCACACCCATGTGCAAAGCGCCCCCACCCCATCCATCAACAGAAAATGATGAACATGGCAGAATTTGACGTCATTCTGACGTCATTTGTGGTCAACCTATCATAGCCTTTGGAATAAAATGTTGTTGCAATGTGTAAAATGGATGCCCGGAGGAGTCCTGAAAGTTTGGTGACGATATCTGCAGTCGTTTAGGATATATCAGCAAAAAAGGACAGGGAGAGGCCTTTTCGGCCCCGACCTACAGGGCGCTACCCTGCACTCTCACCACCGTGCAAAACGCCCCCCTTTCAGAAAACTGGGGGCGTCTTGCCCCATGCATCGAGTAGGCGTCTTTCCCCATCCACTCCATTTCCGGTCAACAAAATATTGACAAAAAACGCGCCACTAACGCCGCAGCATAATAAATTCAACAGAATGACAATAAAACGCAGTTTTGAGTGATGTGCACAATAGCAAGTTTTGTGATATAAAGAAGGCATCAAAAGCTTAGGAATCTTCTGTAAAAACAACAAAAACAACACCCAAAAACAACATCAGCATCTACCCACGCTGCTCCTCAAGACGCAGAACCGGAAATAGAGAACTACGTAAACAAGCAGCTGACTGTTCTGAAAGACAGGATAAAACACCTATCCGTCGATAAGATCTACGATTTTTTTAGGGGAGGCGTTTAACCCTGGGGTGCGTTTTCCCCACAGTTACCCTATGAGTTCAGAGTTGTCATTTGTGACCCATCTTTCTGGTGTCTTACCTGCAGGAGCTGTTTATGATAAACTGAACATACCGTCGGATACCGGCAACATCAAAGTACTGAGGGACGACAAATCCTGCGGTTCATCTTTGAAGCTCATCTTTCCACCGGGCCATAGTGAGGAGCGGCTGACGGCTCTGCTGGAGTCCCTACGAACCTTGGAGGAGCTCACGGTCTCCATTCCTCCTGACTCGACGGGACGGTGGCTGCGGCTTATACCGCCGTCCTTGCGGCGCCTGGACGTTTACGGTGAGATGTAATTGATGAAACTTTTAATTACACTGTTGTGTGGTGAGGATAGCGCTTAGTATCGCGATTGTAGCTACGCATGTAGGTTGTAGGTAAATATCTGCTAAGCAGGTCCGCTACCATATGCAAGGTACCTATTGCCAAGCATCTCACAAAAACAGCGTTTTAGCGGACGTGGAATCATCACAGCAAAAAAAGCAATGTGCAAAGCGTATTTACTGTAACTCTGGTCAAAACTATGATAGCCGTTTTGTAGAACACATGCTCTACAAATGATCATAGCCCGGCACCGCCTGGGCTATTTCCGTAGACAGCCTGGGGGGGGGGGGGGGTCGGATCCGACCCCCGCCCCTGTTATCTCGAGAACCAATGGTCGTATCGAGCCCCGCGAGGCGGCGTTCGAAAGGTCTCTACGAGACCTTTCCAAACCACTCTTAACCCGGCAGTTGCTGGGGTATTTCGCCACCCACCGTTTGCTGGGGGGGGGGGGGGGGGCGTTAAACGCCCCCAGCCGATAACTCGAGAACCAATAGGCGCAGCGAAACGCACGAGGCGGCAAACGAAAGAACGCGACGAGACGCTTCAGATGAGTACTTTAAAGTTGAATTTTGAGGTCACAGGTCAGGTCAAGGTCAGGTCAAACACCTGAAATCGGGCTTTCAGCAGCATGGACTTCAGGACTTATTACTAAATACTAAATTCTTAACCCGCGCCGGGCCGGGGGGGGGGGGGGTGTTTGAACACCCCCCCCTTGCGGTTTTTCGCAGATATCTCAAAAACCGCCGCCGTTTTTGGCACACCTGTTTGTGCAACTTTTTCGCACATGTTGTGAAAATTTCAGACCCAGGTCACCTTAGGTCAGATCACCAGGTCACGCCAAGTGACCTCACCTCAGAAAAAATAAGAATGCTCGTCATAGCTACACCGACTGAACGATTGCCTTTCAACTTTCAGCGATTGATAAGAGCAACACTATCTATAAAATGTATATCTCGGAATTTTGATATCGGTGACCTAAGGTCAGGTCAATTTTGCGGCCTCTCCATTATAAGTCACTGGGAGAAAATTGAAAAGCGTCTGTTTTGCACGAACGCTATTCTAGACACTCTCAAACATCGAGATGTAGGTAAAATAGACACACTGAACCAGAAAATAGCAACTCTGACCCCTCGTTATGTCCCCGAGGTCATCTCAGGTCACGAACAGAATCTAACAGTTTTTCGATGATAACTTCTGATAGAGGCGTGCTAGAGCGCTGAAAACGCCTTAGATGTGTTCGGCTCGACGTTGCGGTTCGACTGATATGCAACATGACCTTTTCCGGTCAGGTCATGACCTTGACCTGAGGTCAAATTTTCAAGTTGACCTTTCAAGGTCAAATTACAGTTCATTCGACGCGTCTCGACGAGAGGAACACGATGCTGGCAACAGTAATGTCATAGCTCTTTTGAGTCAAAAGTTATTGCCGGAAAAAAAAAACGTTTTTCGTAAAAACGGCTATTTTTGGAGTATTTGCCCTCTGGAGGCTAAACCGTTGACCTGAGGTTAAATCTGAGAACATTACTCAGAAAGGTCTGTAAAAGGGCTATCGAATGCGCTTTTTTGCGGCGCTTTAGCTCTATCGGTTCCCGAGATAGCCGTTGGCAGTTTCCAAAATGTTGAAATAGTCAACATTTTACCTTTGGTGACCTCTGGTGACCTGACCTTTGACCTGACCCAAAAAATGACCGAAGTGTTTTCGTCCTTATTTTTGACGTTCTTTCTGTAGCGGGGTTTCGCGGCGTTGCGGGGCTAACCGGGCAGTGTCTTTCGGGAGTGAGATGAGAGAGCAAGAAAAATAGGGAGAGCTCCGACGGTGCGCTCCTAGAAGCCCTTCTCAGTGTCCAGCCCCTCGCGAACCCGTTCCGACTCTGACTCTATCTTTCCGGGGCGATCAATCATCGGAAAACACATAGGCCAGGGTTAACCCGCGCCCTGATGGGGGGGGGGGGCCATTTTGGCCCCCCCCTGTGGTTTTTCTTAAATAGCGAGAAAACGGCGGCGCGCAGCGCCGCCAAATTTTGGGTACCTTACCGGGCATCAATTTGACACCTTCACACAAAATTTCAAGTCACAGGTCACCTCAGGTCAGGAGTTATTGAGGTCAAACTGAGGTCATGTTCGAGCAAAAATGAGCAAAAAACATGACATTTTGAAACGCTCACCAATTCTACAGTTAACAAGCAATTTTAAAGTTCTTTATGTGGTTGTGTAGAGAAAAGACGGCGCTACAAAACTGCTATCTCGGATTTTCGAAATTTTGGGAGTTTGACCCCCAAAAATCAAAAAAATTGATTTTTTTAGAAAAACTCAAAAATTTTCCAAAAATTTTTCGAATTTCGAAAAAACCGGAATATATGTGATAGTCCCTGCGCTCTTCGATATACATACCAAATTTTAGATCGATATCTCTTTTTTTGGCCAAGTTATAGCGAAAAAACTGTTAAAAATTGATGACGTCAAATTTTTGAACTCAATTTTTAGCAATTCTAGACCTCGTAGCGCAAAACGGAGACCACCATTGAACTCCCCGTGACGAGCTGCATCGAATCGATACCCATTTTATGCAAAAATATCAACTTTGAAATTTGACCTAATTTGACCTGACCTTGACCTGACCTTGACCAAAACGTGACCTAAGCTGGCCCTGAAGTCTGTCTGACCCACATAATCGCATTTGTCATGTAAAATGGACCATAAAACATGTATCACACGACACTTTCATATTGTGACCCCCCCAGTGACCTGACCTCTGTGACCTGACCTGGTATCAGTGGCCTCAAATAGCAATATATGTGTTTGAAGAACATTTCTCCATCGATGATTTTCAATGAAATGCATTTTACTCGATTTTACAACGCATTTCTTGAAATGCCTGTAAACGGTGAAAATTCGACCTTTGACCTGACCTGTGACGTCATCGGTTTGACCGAGGTCAATGAAATTGGGTCACAAGGTAGTTCCCCGCTGGGGCTATCCAACACCGTTTACCGCTTGTCGCTATGTTGCGTGGTTCTCGAGATCTGAGGGGGGGCCAAAATGGCCCCCCCCCATCAGACCGCGTTGCTCGGCAGACCCCATCTGGGCGCGGGTTAAGGAATGGGAGGAGAGATAATAATAACCTATTATCCTTGATCACACTGAAATACGAACCCAACTCTACTTAACAAAAAGGTCCCACTCTCAAACAACAGCACCCGTCCTAGCTGAGGGTTATCTCCCACCGGATATACATGCCAGTCATACGTTCATTTGCCCGTCACCTCTCATTTCTGTCATACGCCCAGCCATACCTGATAAATTGTCAGAGTTAACCATCTCTGATCCCTCCCCCTTTGCCTAACTTCCCCCGGTGGTGCTAAGGCGTGCGCAAGTCGTAATTTAGTCATTGACCTTAGATTTTATTAACCGTTATCCCTTCATAACCACAATGCTCCGTACATCAAACGAACGCTTCATCATGCTCACGCTACACAATTAGAGATACGACCCACCACAGATTTCGGCACTCGGCCCTCGCGTTACGTGACTTATTGCGGTCCGTCTCATCACCATGTCGAACTACCTACACAAAAAAAACATAAATGTCCTTCGGCCAGCGGTTCCGAGACTACGGCTCGCAGGACACTGTGTAGTCCGGTTTCCGCGGGGGACTTATCTGAAATTTGAGACCGGGGCTGGGTAACTAAGGTCCGTCCGGGCTGCCTGCATCGTCTCCGTATAGCCGCGGTTTTCGGGCCAGCCCCCGGCGACCGAAAGGGATTAGTCGTTCGTCGGCTTTACACGAATCCATGACTACCAGTTATGCCAAATTGCCTATAAGAAAACGAAAACTAAGCGTACCACGGCCCGCGGTGGGCTTATCTAAACTTTGAAACCGGGCTGGGTAACTAGGTCCGTCCGGGCTGCCTGCATCGTCTCCGTATAGCCACGGCTTTTGAAACAGCACCGGCGACCGAACGGGTTAGCCTCCGTTGGCTTCACACAATCCACGACTACCAGCGTTATAGGTGCCCGAAGCCCTATCTATCCGTTGCTGGTAGTTAAGCTGTCGTCACAGACCTATCCGAAATGACCGCTGCACGGCCGGAGTAAATCGACTAACAGCGGGGTGGCCAGTACCGACTTACCGCGATCACCCGACTCGCATGCTTTGGTATTTAATGTTCACCCCCGTCCTGCAGCATCACACGTTTCTTCGCGGGACATTACTTAACCGGCGGCATACGTCTCCTCGCTGGGACGCCTGGGGTCCTAACCATCTCCGAAACTACCTACGTCGCTTATCGAATGTCATCCTGCGCTGATCACTCAATGGACCGATAGCGGACCTAACCTATCTTTTAAAACCGGGCGGGGTCACTAGGTCCCTCCGGGCTGCCTGCATCGTCTCCGTATAGCCACGGCTTTATGGGGCCCGCGCCGGCAACCGAACGGATTAGCCTTCGTCGGCTATGCACTCATCCTCAATAATCGATCCTCAACTCGCTCTCATCCCTTCCCTTCACTTCGCGACTTATTGCACGTATCCAGGGCTTACCCAAGCGAGGCCTACTATTTAAGTGGGGTCTATCCGAGCTGAGCTTCATTCAGGAAATCCGATTCCTCTACGTGTACAGTCTTCTTTCATTTCACTCGCTTCTCATCTCCCTCCTAACCCGTAGCCGCGTCGGTGGACTCTCCACGCACAGGGGCGTGACGTGCATTATCTGTCCCCTTTGAGTCCCTTATTCATCTTAGGTGCGGGTTGACTTAAGTGGGGAGGATTTACTGAGACTCTAGCTCGAACTGACAACTCGTCTTTCTCGTTCTCGTCCTCCACCGTCACCCCTTTTTTCAAAGTTAAGCCACCGACCAGTGCGGACCGGGCTGAGCGGAAATCCCTTAGTTGAGGCCGTTCTGGGTTGGAAAATGGGAACGTATGACCCGGCCAGTGCTGACCAGACGATGATAAGCAGCTC